GGAGGAGGGGCAGGAGGAAGGGTGAGGAGGAGGGGGGAGGGGCGGACTCACCTGCACGCGCGTGGCGCCGCTGAGCTCGTTGAGCAGCACGCGGCAGAAGGGGTCGGAGAGGCCGCTGGCGTCCGAGCCGATGAGCGAGCGCGCCTGGTACACGTGCGCCCGCAGCTGGAACGTCTGCGCACGCCCACGCGCTCTGCTGGCACTCACAGACTCTCCGCTCCGCTGCAGTTATTCCTTCACGCCCTGATATACGTGTTTGGATAAGGCAGCCCCAACAGATGGGGAAGAATCTACATTGGGTGTAATGCATAGCGCACCCCTATCCGGCTGGCAGCTCGCAAGCGCCGTTCGGGTGGCGTCCTCTCGCAAGAGCCGGACCTCCCACGCCCGGCTCGCGATTGAAAAGGGGATCATCTTAGAGGATAGGGAGATTAATTGCTTGGTTATTTCGCGAGTTCGGGCGCGTAAACAGTTACGACAATTAGTCCCGCAATGGTAGTGCGTGATTTGAGGGTAGTGGTGTTCCTCCGTTGGACTGCGAGATTCCAAGCTGACCTAAACAGTGGCTGGCGATTTTCCCCTATCCAGGTATCTCTTCCGGAGCACCGCACCGCCCCCCCCCGGGACATGCTCTAAGCTCCCGACGCGTCTCCCGGCACGTGTGGTAGTGCAGTGCAAGGAAGGCGACGGAAAAATCACGCGCGGTCCGTGGTTCGTTTGTTAGGGTACTGTTCCCGCATTCGCCTGGTGTTGATAAAAAAAACTGAAAACTACCGCATCTCTGAACGGCACGTAACTAAAATATTATGCACGTTGCGCACTACTCTTGCTTAGGCAAAAATTAAAACACTCATTTCGGTACTTTTTAGGTCTGTGTAAGGCGTAATAATTAGCAAAAAAGTACGATTAAATTTGAGGGAAACGTTACCCAATTGCCTTTTTTCGGCTTACAAAAAGAGAAGGAAATGACGAATTACTGACAATTCAAAGCACATTCCCAATACTGAAGGTAGAAACGTTCCATTTGGATTATACACTAAGATGTGCGTAACAACAGAATCAATTTTCCAAAAATCCATCTTTAAAGGGACAAATAAATTTTTGTATAATTTTCTTCAATGGAATCTGCAATACATCTAGACATTGGACCTTTTCTGCTGTTGTGTAGCCGAGAAATTTAATTGAACAATGTCGTCCTGGGCCTTAAAAATGGCACATCGTGTGGGCAGCGAATGTAGAAAAAGTAGTGCGGGTAAAGTGAAAGGGTCATATTACAATCGGTATCACGAAAAAGTAAACGGTTATGAGAAAAACTTTGTTTTAGTAGCAAATTGTACGGAGTTAATGATATAACAATCTATATCTGCTCAATATGTTGCTTTTAACTTAACCTATGCGCGAGATTTTTATGTCTAGAGCACTATTAATTATGCAATGTTATTATTTAGCTGCTTAATTACACTGATTCTACATACGTTGTCTTCTTCTTTCATTGACACGGCGAGACTGTGAAGACTGCCAATTACATTTTCAAATATAATACTATATGTTAAAAACAGCTATGAATTATTTCTAAAATATGCATCATGTAACACCAACACGAACCTTATTGTATCTCGACCCCTGCCTCTATCGCCAAGCTGGTATTTAAATGGGGGAAATAAGCTGTTCGAAATAGAACTTTGCAACTGATCCGGTGAATTTTGCATGAAGAGGGAGACATATAAATCGTGGAGTGTTAGAGGGAGACTGACACGGATTTAGGCGGGTTGTGACGCCTGTCAATCTAACATGAGCATCAAACTAGGGACAGATCGTCCGGAGTACTGAATCCGATTATCATGGCATTGACAGCTACTAAGGACAAATGACTGACGCACGGATCTTAGGTACTCAGTCAACCGAAGGGATTGTGAGAGTGAAGGCCATCAGCGATGTAAAAGCTGCGACGGAAAATTATTAGTGTAAACTGCAATTAATTAGGTATAAAACATTTAATATTAAACATATTGTAATCGTTGAGCACTTTTTTAGCAATGAAAACTTGTAAATTATGTTTTAAGGACATTTGCACGACAATCACAATTTATATTAAATAAAATTTTCAGCGACTTTTTAGGATTTTATTTTTCACCACAGTTCAGGACTTCGCGTTTTAAATAAAATCGATTTGAACAATATTTTAACACTGCATTGCGGAATATGTGAATCGTTACAGAGTATAAACAATCGTTTCATCGGTTTTACAACATTCAAAGTAAACATTTTTGTGACATGTATGAACATCTAGTGTCATTATGCTTTTGATCGTAAAGAATGGCATTCGAAGTTCATGGATATTCGTTTTGGACATCGACGTTTCACATTTATATATTACCAGAATATTTATCATGCCGGCCCAATGTTGACCACTCGCTGTCAACGCGTGCGCAGAATCGGTGCGTGCTTTCTGTCAAGTGCTGAAATGTCGACCACATTTATTACATTCTCGACTTGTGAATTCTTCGTAAGAAGAGAACGTTATGGAATCGTGCGCCAGAAAACGGCCAATTTTCGCCAGAAAAACTCTAATTGCCGGGTTTTCGTGACGAAAAAGTGGATAAAACTGCTAATGTAGAAAAAGAAACCTACACGAGGTGTAGCCAGAATTTTGTTTTTGTTAGTTCTTCAAACCAAAAAATCGATTGACGGCAAAATGCCCGTCTTTGGTCAAAGTTAGCGACTAAATCGATCAGCCGATTTTCTTGAAATCGATATTACTCAATTGATCAGAATAAACTCGTGGCTTTGGAAGTTCCAAATGGATACTTTGATTTTGAGGGTACTTCTCATAAAGCCTAAAAACATTTTCACCTTTTTCTCAGAAAAGGCACCACTTGTTTTGATTAAATTTTATAGTTGAATATTTGAAAAGGACGTTTAAAAAATTATACAGATCTCATTTTCTTTGACATCCCCAATTTTTCAAATATTACAAAGAAATATATTAAAACTACAACATTGAATATAGAAATTTTTGTCACAAACAAAGTATGTTGTACAAAATTAGCTCCTTAAAAAAGGGTCGGAAATTTATCGGAATTTCTTTCTAAAACAAACTCTTCAAATTTTTTGTTTAAATTTTCTTCACTTTTGTAATAAAGGTCGGTAAAATATATGGTGCTAGTCGCATTTTCGGATATTGTTTAGTTTTTAGAAAATTGCAAAAATAATTTTAAATTACAAAATTGTAAGTAGATATGTTTGCCTCAGACAATGTCTGTTTGCAAAATTATCTCTTTGAAAAGGATCATGTACATTTAAAAAAAACAATAGTATTTGCGAAATTTTTGCTTGAAATTTACAAACCAAAAACGTTTCTCAAAAACTGTTCCAAATTTTTTCTTTAAATTTTCTTCACGTATGTAGTATGGGACGGTAAATATTTTGGAGCTAGTCTCATTTACAGCTGTAGCTTCAGCCTTTCGCCAAGCGAACGAGAACATTTCAAAACTAAAAATTCGAGATAGCGATTATCGCTTCAAACAAAATGTGTTGTAAAAAAATCAGCTCCTTAAAAAAGGTCATGAAATTATTTTTAAAATACCAGCCGATTTCTCTCAATTTCTGTCTGCATGCAATTTCTAAAAATATTGAAAACGCGCGCGAAATATTTTCATTAACGATTCTCCTCTTTTGTAACAGGGTATGATTAATAAATAAATAAGTAAATAAATAAATATTCTCGCTTTAGTTTTATAATCTGGACTAAACTTCCCTAGGTCTTTTTCTCATCACGCTGCCTCATCATCTGTCTTTTGTCGTTCGTAAAACATTTTTTTCACTTATTCTCATTCTGTCAGCTCCGTAATGCTAAAACTAATAAAATTATCTCTTGACTAATACAGAAATATACAACCCAAACCTGCGCGGACGTTCGAGGTTGTTCAGAGGCGTGTATGGATTGAATGTTTCGGGTCAAAAGGAGCCATGTTCGAATTCCAGGTAGGTATTTTTAATTTCATGAGTGTGTTGTTGCTGAAAACTATCAAAAACCGTTATTAAAAACCATTTGAAGATTTATACTTACAAATACTGTCAATTTATATATAAGTAAACCGGACGCTTATATTCGTGCTGTTCAAATTTGTAACTTTTAAACATATTTTTTAAAACTGTTATTCGATTTGTAAAACGTACAAGTATATCACATTAAAACAACTGTTTTCTGGGCAACTGTTTGAACCGATTTAAGTAAACTAATGAGTATATCGACATGAATATGAAATACAATATAATTAGACATCTCTAATACTTAATCAGATATCCCATAGTACTTCGCTATCCTCAATGGTTTCGAATTATGGTTTATTATTACTTTCTCGCCTTACAAATTCTTCGTAAGAAGAGAACGTTATGTAATCCTGTGCAAGAAAACACCGAAATTTCTCCAGAAAAAAACTTATTGCCGGGATCTGGTAACGAAAAATGTGGATACCCTGTAGTCAAATTCAGAAAAGAAATCCTCGAACACAGAGTGTAGCCATAATCCATATTTTGTTAGTTTTTGATACTGAAACATTAATTAACAGCAAACGTCAGTCTGGGATTACATCGTTCAGCTTCTTTTCTTCAAAATTGATATTCCCTGATTGATCTTAACTGACTGGAGGCTTTCAGAGTTTCTAAAGGATATTTATACTGTAGAAGTTGTTTACATGAATCAGGTTTTTACCTTTACATGCCTTTGTCCGAGTTTGACCCATGCGGTACTTCTGTGGCATAATGGTTTGACTACTGGGACATTAACTCAGATACATAATTTCCTGCTTGAAAACACCTATTCCGGTTTATTTAGTTGTATAATGATGCGGAGAATTGAGAAAGAATGCGAGAAAGTATGTGGATAGGCAGCCCCACGATTTCGATGATGTCCCACGGCTTCTAAATAGTTGCATTATGCAAATATTTGCTTAACTACATATGCCTTCTCTAAAGAAACTGAGAATAATTTAAATTATTTCACATGATTTCACTGTAAACTTTGAATAATGCTTCAGTACCTTCATGTTATTTCCTGAAATAAACTTGAAACGCTTGTCTAGGATGACACTTTCCAAAAACAATATTAGAGTGTCTTTGTGAAGAGTTTATCCTAATTTACACCGTCTTGCCTTTGATATCAGAGTGATACA